GGCTTGATTTTTAGTAATCTTTTCCTGTTAAATAAATAAATCAAATCAAATCAATAGACGAGACCATTGGAGATGAGCTGATTGAGATGACTGGAATCAGACCACTCAAAAAAAAAACTTATTTCCTAATGACTACACTCATTAAAAATAAAYGTAATAAATGTTTTGTAAACTTTGTTTTTCTTGAAAAGATTCACGCAGTAATTGTTAAGTTTTGTTAACATCTGAGGAAATATAACTAGAGTAAAAACTAAGTCCTCTGACAGTGCTGTATTTCCAATAAAACTTACATATTGACCTCCATCATGCATCATATGTAAGGTTTTTAAATTAGGATAATTGGCTCTGAAAACAGTAGGGATAATCCTATCACCATTTCCTGTCAAAAAAACAGGTTTTGTTCTTCTCCTAACCCCCTTACTTGTTTCTGTTCCTCGCCCAGACTGTCCCACATGGAGGCCACTATCTTTGAGACTTCTCCAAACGTRGCGTTGGGGTTTTGTCCCTTAATGGCGGCCTGCGTGTCCCTGAAGAACAGAGCGTAGGCCGACACTGGTTTCTGAGGCTCGTAGGGGTCTTTCTTCTTCCTCCCTTTCTTCCCGCCTCCYGCCCCTCCTTTCCGCCCGACGGCCGAGGAGATGCTGGAGGACGGGGCGGACACCAGGGATTCAGACAGAGAGGGGTCGAGGGAGATGACTCCAGGAGAGACGGCCAGGGAGACCGGAGACTCAACGAGTACACTCTAATCAGAGGAGGGAGACAATCAGCTCTGTTAGATGATAATCCTGAAATAAATCTGGTACAGAACATATTTTAGACGTTTTGAAGACCCACCCTTCTGAAATCATCCATGTCATCATCCTGGAGCGAGCTGGTAGGAGAGGCAGTAGCTGATAAAGGGTTTTCAGGTGAATGGGGGCGTTGCAAAATGTTMCCGCCCCCCAGGCCGAGCCCCAGCTGGGCGCTGAGCTCTGATTGGTCGATCGTGGTCAGCTGGTTGGAGCCCAGCAAGCCCTGGCTCATGTCCCCCAGCGGGACGTCAATGGTCACCGGAGACGAGCTGCTGAACTGCGAGCCCATTGGATGACCGAGATCCTGAGATAGGAACGACATGACAGGAGTAAAAAAAAAAATCTATTCAGATTATTAAATCACTCTGCGCTCCTCACCATGCCCAGGGACGAGCCCAGCAGAGCGTTGCTCCCTGCCTGGTTCATGACCCCCAGGCTCAGGTGCTCCAGACCCTGAGTGGGGGCGCTGACGTAAGTGGAYGCAAACGACGGATCGTCCCCTTCGACCACGGCGTTGCCAGGCACGACCACGCTGTCCGAAGGACCGGTGTCCGACAGCTCGCCGAAATGGGACACCACGTCGGACACGGTGAGAGCCGAGTCCGGGTCCAGAGAGATGGGAGGAATCTCGAACTCCTCATCGCCAAGGCTGGGGGTGTGGAACGTCTGAGGAGAGGCGGGACCCCCAAAAAGACAATGAAAAGTGGAAGAAGACAGAAAGAAACCAGTTAGAAAACAAGGTRGGAGTAGAAGAACAACAGGTTCAAGAAAATGTAGGATTTCAAACAACAACTACAACTGTAACAAAAAATAAAATTAAAAATTAGTTAACCCTACCTCAGAAGAAGAGAGGAAGGGATGACTGGACCCTGATATCGTCAGGTAGTTGCCACTGCCACCAGGGAACTGAAACAAATGAGTGTTAAAGTTTCAGAGAGTGTTTTTTTAAAGGGATCCATGATTAGTTATAACATTAGAC